CACATCTAGGGGATACTCCTTTCCTTGAATATCCCTTGAAGATTTCATGGCTGAGCAGTATATTATCAATGATGCTTCTGCCTTCAATAAATGCTGACTGAGCCTGGCCTACTATACTGCCAATAACAGATTTCATCCTCCTTGTAATAACTTTGGAAATGATTTTATACACAGTTGTACATCAGGCAATAGGTCTATAATCTTTGATAGTTGAAGGAGTTGTAACTTTAGGCACAAGTGCAATAGCTGTAGTATTTATCATGTTGGGCAGATTGCAAGTAGTGAAGAAATCCATAGTAGCAGCAAGGATATCTTACTGTACTATCTCCCAGTTTCTAGTGAAGAATTCCACAGGAAAACCATCCACACCTGGTGCTTTGTCCTTTGGCATCTCCTTTAGAGCTTCTGTAATCTCCTCCACTGTGACCTCTTGAATTAACATTCTTTGTTGTGATAGAGTAAGACAAGGACCTTCCTTCATAAAAACAGTATTGATACAAGGGAGTTCAACAACACATTCACTCATCAATGATTTGAACACTTTAATAAATTCCAGTTCCACAACTAATGGATCTGTTAGCTTTATACCTGATTCAGTATATATAGAACTAATATTATTCTGGCTAGTTCTGATCTTCCATTGAGCATGAAAATACTTTGTATTAGCATCTCCACATTCAATCCAGTTGGCTTTGGACTTCTGCCTCATAATCTGCTCCTCCACCTTGCTCCATTTCTCAATTTCATACAATGCTACTTTCTCATCATTGAGCAAATTCTATGTAAATGGACTGTGCTGCATCTGGCTTTGTACAATATCCAGTGTCTCCCTAGCTTGAATAAGCTTCTGCTTATAGGAAAACATCTGGCTATTTATCCCCTTTAATTGCTGCTTCAAGGCTTTCAATTTGGTCCATACCTGCTGCATAGGTGATCCTTCACAGTGCTGTGCCCAAGTTTGTTTCAGAATAGGTTTAAACTGCGGATCCTCCATAATTGCAATGTAGAATCTGAAAGGTTTGGGATGTAGAAGCCTTTGACTGCCAAACTTTATAAGTATGGGAGAGTGATCAGATACTGAAGGGTTCATGAACTCAGCCTCAAGGTGCCCATACTGTTGAATCCACTGAAAGTTACCCAAAGCCCAGTCAATTTTACTATATACTCTAGTATCAGTAGCCTGCTTATTGGACCAAGTATAATGCCACCCTTTAGTTCGAAGGGGAGTAAGTTGAATGGCATCTATAGTCTCCTTGAATCCTCTGGTTTCAGCATCAGTGACAGGAGAACCAATTCTGTCTTCAGAGCTCAAGACAGTATTGAAGTCCCCACTAAGTACCCAAGGATCCTGATTGGGAATGTTTACTGCCTGCAAATCACACCACAACTGTTCCTTATTGCTTGCAGTATTATGAGCATAAACTACACTCATATGGGTTCTGACTTTACCTTGAACATCTTCTAACATACATTGTATAAACTGATCAGTCACATTAGAAATAAGGACTTGAATATGTGGTTTCCAAAGCAGCCAAATCCTACCATTGACAGAACTAGCATAGTTGCATTGAAACTTCCATCCTTTAGCAATCTTATCAAGTATCCTTTTAGCTTTATGCTCTTTAACTCTAGTTTCAAGAACACCTATGACATCTACTTTATTTACAGACAGAAAGCTTTCTAATTCTTTCTGTTTGTGGTCTTAATTAAGCCCTCTTATGTTCCAAGTAGCAATAATCATGAAGCACTAGAAACAATGCTCCAAGAGGGTCCTGGATCCACCTGTTGGCCCTTGCTGCTATCATCCAGACCATCTATAATAGCCTTCCCCTTCTTTGTTTTGTCAATCAAATCCTCAATGTTTCCAAGAGGTTCAGTCATAGCTGAATCATTCCTAGCATAACCAGGCAGTGCATTCTGTTCCACAGTACTATTGCCCAGCTGCATATCCTGCTGTTGAGTAGTGATCCCAATGGTATCATTCCCCATCTGCACTTTCTAACTGGTCTGTTTTGGCTGAACTGGTAGGTTAGCTATTGCATCTGCACAAGACTTGGGAACCCATTCTTGCTTGGTCCTTTTAATCAGATTTGGTATGTTGGCTTTCTGCTTCCTCTCCTTCACATGGTCACCAACTTCCTGGTCTTTGCCTGCATTATACCAGCAGTCAATAGAGTCATGACCAAATTTCAAACAATGGTTGCAAAAACTAGGTTTCCAATCATATTCAATCTGCTGTATTTTCATACCAAAAGGAGTGTCAATATGAATCTGATCAGGTAGTGGATGTGCAGCATCAACCTCTACCAAAACTCGAGCAAATGAAATCTTCTCATAATGTGCTGTGATTTTGTCAGTGTACAATGGTCTACCCACTGCACTAGCCAATTTACTCAGAACATCAGTAGACCAGTAACCCACTGGAAGGCCAGGGAATCTAATCCATACAGGAATAGTACTAAGTACATCATTGCTGAATGAAAAATCAATCTCCCATGGCTTTAACACCATAGGCTTGTTCCTGTACGAGTATGGACCAGATTGAATAACTAACTCTTTATCTTCCTCACTATTGAATCTAAAAATACAATAACCTTCAGCATGCATCAGTATCTGTGGTTTAGAAACGAAATTCCAGACATGCATCATAAAATTCTCCATCATTTTAGCATTTGGATTGTCATCAATCACATATCCAATCAATGCATTTGCCCAGTAATCTATCTGAGGCTGAAAATCCTCTACACTGATTCTAACAACCCTCTGACCATCTCGTTCGATCGGAGGCATAAATGATAGCGACTTACCCATTTGAGCATTTCGATTACCTCGAACAACTTCAGCAACAGTCGGCAATGGTTTAACAGGATCACTAATTTCAGAGAAGTGAAGTCTTCGAGCAGTGATATTTGGCGATACTACTTCTTTATCCATCGGAATTGTATTTACAGTTGCATCAACCTATGCATGCAAGTTCTCTGGCGATTGGAGTTTCTGTGGAAGGAAATTCCCAAAGGTCAAAGGTTCCAGTGCCGTAGTTACACCGTGAGCAGGCGTAACGAGTTGCACAGGATCTATCGGAGCAGTCGGACCAGCATTGCGACGGCGGCGAGACATTTCCGGCACAATTGCGATCTTGCTATTGTGCGCCGAAATGAGCTACTAGGAGTTACTGTTTTATTGAAATGAGTTGACTTTGATAAAATTTTCTCACATGTTGTGAAAATGTTTTCTATTCGTGTGGTTATAGGCTAAGCTGCGAGTCTATATTTAAAGGTTGAGCAGATGGATGTAATGACTACTTTTCTTCATGGTTATTTAGATGAGGAGATTTATATGGAGCAGTCTGAGGACTTCGTAGTTAAACTTGAAGATAACCATGCGTATTGTAGAAAATTGGCAAGCATGAAGCCCCTCAATAGTTCCTCTAGTTGAAGACACATTTTGCCCCGTGGTTGGATGGGGAGTTTGTTGGCACATTCCTATGTTGTGCAGCCAAAGTCCCAATGGCATAATCCTATTCGCTTTAAGTTTCTATTCCTATTCGAAATTGGATTCAGCTTTTATTCCTATTTAGAGTTGATTTTGGCTTTATGAAAAACACTACTCATTATCTATAAATAGGAAAATCTTGGAAAATTGTTCTATGCTCATTGGTATAATAAGTCTTTGAAATATAAAGCATATAAAGTGATTTTTGAGAGAGCTTTCAACAAGAGAGAAGAGAGATGAAAAGGTGTTTATTTTACGGCAGTTTTTTTTCCGATCAAACATCTTCCAATCACGTTTAACCGTTGGATCAAGCTGCAACTCGTATTGAGTTTTCATAACATCTTGGTCTATGATTTGAACAGTGGAGATCGGATTTGGAGGTTCGTAGGATCTGATCTCGAGTCCCAAACAGAAGCTCTGGTTTGGTGACTTCTCCTTCTTCAATTGATTTGTTGTTGTTTTTGTTGCTATTGTGGCTCCGTGTGTGGTACTTGTAATGTAGGCAATTTGAAATATTTTTTGTATCCCTCTTATTGTTATAGTAAATATTTTTGGATCTTTGTGATCTTATGATTTTTACCTTGAATCACGAGGATTTGTGATTAATTATTAACTAAATTAGACTATCCTAATTATCTATACAAGAATTAAACCTAGAAGTATTTGATTC